CACTGGAGAAGTGTGCCCAGTACAAGCTGTTGTTGTGCTGACTCTGACTCATGTATTCCCATATGCATCAGAGTAGAATTGTGCTCCTCAAGGTTTTCAATGGCTGGTTTTTTGGAAGTAGATTGCCAGGCCTTTCTTCCAATGTGTTTCTCAAACCAATACCAAACTCACTGCCTTCGAGTCAATTCTGACTCATAGCGATCCCTCTTTGGGTTTCTGAGGTGGAAGCAGATTGCCCAATCATCCTTCTGAGGAGTGGCTGCCAGGCTTCTGGTTAGCAGTCAAATGCCTTAGGCACTACACCACCAGACTGCCAGTGTTTTGATTAGCAGCTGAGTGGAGGAAGTGTAATCAAAACCAAACTTGGTGCCTTTGATTCTGATCCGACTCATAGTGACCCCTCCTTGGGTTTCAAAGGCAGTATCACTATGGAAGTGGATTGCCCACTCTTCCTTCCAAGGAGTGGCTGGTAGTTCAAACCCACCAGCCTTCTGGTTAGCAGTCAAATGCCTTAGGCACTATGCCACCAGAGCTTCCAGAGGAAGTGTAAGGCTACATTATTCTCGAAATACTCACAAACCACTTCTCTCATGGAATTTAGTCTATTGGATAAGAAATAAATTATTTTGATGACCTAAGTGTACAAATGTACTGTGGATTTAGTGTTATTTTTCAGATCCTCTGTCATTTCTGTGATAGCTGTAGAGGGAGGAAGTGTAAAACTTGGGGTCAGCCCACCAATGGGAAATGGAAGTCAGAAAAGGGGTTAGGGACAGGCCCACCAGAAGAATTCACTCTAGGAGTTTGCTTCCACTCTGATGGAACCGTGGGCTAGATTTGATCCTTGATTTTAGTCTAGAAATTAAAACATTGGCATTAACACCTCAACTGGCTATCACTTCACAATCATTGCTGATGAGACCCAGGCTGGTGCACAGCCTGACAGACTCCTGCAACGTCTTGGCTCCCACACACGTTGGTATGCAGAGAGGTTCCTCTTACTTATCCAAGCATCTAGCCGATTGATTTTTGAGTTGCTAAATCTCCACTCCTGTTTTTGTTAGCTGCCCCGACTCATGGCAATCCCACACACAAAGGATGCTCCCTGGTCCCTGTGCCGGCTCATGATCAGCTGTGCATCAGTCGATAGTGATCCATAGGGTTTCATACACTGATTTTTCTAAAAGAGATCACCAATGCTTGCCTTTTTCTTCATCCCTACTGAAAAAAGAAAAAGAAAAAGAAAAAACACCAAACTTACTGCCATCGAGTTGAATCTGACTCATAGCGACCCTTCCTTGGGTTTCCAAGGCAGTATCACTATGGAAGTAGATCGCCCAATCTTCCTTCAGAGGAGTGGCTGGTGGGTTTGAACCACCAGCCTTCTGGTTAGCAGTCAAGTGCCTTACACCCTATGCTACCAGATCATCCCTAAAAACTCTGAATTTGATTTGTTTGGGGATAAACCTTCCTGAAGCAGAGAATCTCACCACTTGCTTTCTTTTCAGCCCTTTAAGCCTAATGCCAGGACTTCCTAAATCTATGGCCACTGTAATATCCTCTCCCCACCTGCCAATAACTTTCTGAAAACACATTTTTCAGACTTATCTAAGCCAACCAAGTCTTCACTGCACTCTTTAACCACATATCATGGTGCAGATTCAGCTAAGTACTTGTGTCCTCGGGGAGGCTCTGAGACTTCTCTGTGCTTCAAATAACTCTTTTGTAAAAATGGAGCTAATACTTCTATTTATCTCATCGCTTTGCTGTAAGAATCAAACGAAAGAACCCACACACATGTGCACAGGACCTGGCTCAAAGCTAGTGCTAATCTTTCTGCCTGAAGATTGAACATATAAACCCAATAAAAAATTGTTTGCAGATTAAAGCCAGATATCGTGAGAATCCTTCATATTAAGTCAGGCACCCCTCTTGATGCTCAAGGCGTGCAGGCTGTTTAAACAGTTTTTTATATTGTTCATGTGAATGCACATACAAGCATTTTTTCTTCTGCCCTATGAGTCTGAGCCTCCAGATTTCATTTTCGAAGACGGAGAGCCCCTTAGAGAACTTGATAAGCAGCCAAGCACAGTTTGTCTTCTATTCCTTTGTCAGGTCTGTGTTCTGCCCCTGGCTACACTCTTACAGAACCACTTACTGGTGATTAAAAGGAGGGGCCCTCCAGCCGAGGGCGCTGGCCTCCGAGAGGGGAGGAGCCTACCCGCGTTTGGGGGCAGAGCGCCGACTCCATCAGTGACTGGGCTCAGCCGCGGGGTCTGCGCTTTCTTAAGTGGCCACAAGCCGTGGAGACAGATCCCGGTGCGGGGGCACGTAGCTCAAACCTGCTGAACCCAGAGCCTCCAAGGGCGTCAGCGGCGTGGGGCTGAGGCTCAGAACAGAGCTACTGGTGCAACCTGGCGGTGGGGCTGTGGACCGACGGACGGACTGACAGACGGAAGGCAGCAGGAATCCTTGGTGCGGACAGGAGTCAGACCTCGGGCTCCCGCCGACAGCGCCATGGACGGCATCGACAATGCAACCCTATTCTTTGAGCCGTCCTCTCTGCAATCGGACAACTACACCCTGTCGCCCGACAACTACACCCTGTCGCCCGACAACTATACCCAGTCGCCCGACAACTATACCCAGTCGCCCGACAACTATACCCAGTCTCTCAATGCCAGCAGCCTGAACACCAGCCTGGACTTCCATCTGGATCTTGCTTCCAGCCCCAGCCCCAGCCCCAGCCCTGGACTCAATTTCGGGCCGGGTCCAAGCATTAGCTTCAGCCCTGGCCCTACTCCGACCCCAGAGCTGATGACCAGCAGCTTTCCAGGCAGTGCAGCAAGCCAGGGACCGTCCCACGGCACCCCTTTCTGGGACACGCCACTGAACCACGGGCTAAACGTGTTCGTGGCCGCCGCCCTGTGCATCACCATGCTGGGCTTGGGGTGCACGGTGGACGTGAACCACTTCGGGGCGCACGTCCGCCGGCCCGTCGGCGCACTGCTGGCGGCGCTCTGCCAGTTCGGCTTCCTGCCGCTGCTGGCCTTCTTGCTGGCCCTCGCGTTCAGGCTGGACGAGGTGGCTGCTGTGGCCGTTCTGCTGTGTGGCTGCTGTCCCGGCGGAAATCTCTCCAACCTTATGTCTCTGCTGGTTGACGGCGACATGAACCTCAGGTACGCATCTGTTCTTCAGCCATCATTCTTACCCTAGCCAATGGCATACACGGTCATGGGTTCAAGACCAAAGAGAGGAAGTAGAGGTGTGTGTGTGTGTGTGGGGGGGGGAATGAAGCATGGAAGACAGAGGAAAAAGGTGGAGGAAATGTTGACGCCTGGGCTTTAGAAGAAAGGAAGAGACATTGTAAGGTTGCAGGGAGAAAGATCTACACACAAACTGAGCTGCTTTGAGAGTCTTGGGGTTTGATCCACAGCTTGAGCCCTTCAGCTGACCCACTTCCCTCTCTTAAGTGGTGGGCTCCCAGTGCAGGCTTTTGCCTATGGGAGGACAAAGGGAATGGGGAAGTCTGAAGCTTAGACTTGCAGGAACTGCAATAGCATAATAGGGCTATTACCGTAATAAAAGTAATCTCACGTAGAGTATAATTCAGCTCAGTCCAACAAGTAGTACTTAACAGCTGTAATATGTCTAACATTGCAGCATGCTTTGGAGAATTTAAGGAAAGAAAAGAAAAAGAAAGAAAATATGCTCCTTACTCTCAGAATCATCCACACAGTAATCAGCTCAACAGATCTCTAAAGCCAGGGCAGCAGTCCTGAGGTGACAGGTTTCTCCTGCCTCGGGTTGACTGAGTTTAGACATGCTCTCTTGGCACCCCCCACACCACCACCACCACCACCATGAAGTAGGTTCTCCCCAGACCCCAGGGACTTGGCAGTCTTTTCCTTTCCTATCTCTACCTAATAGTCAAGAAAAGGTTGGCCGGCTCTTGGGTTCAAAGCCACTTCTGACTCCCTCTTTCTCCTTTCTGCAGTATCATCATGACCATCTCCTCCACGCTTCTGGCCCTGTTCTTAATGCCCCTGTGCCTGTGGATCTACAGCCGAGCTTGGATCAACACTCCTCTCGTGCAATTACTACCCCTAGGAGCCGTGACCCTGACTCTGTGCAGCACCCTCATCCCTATTGGGTTGGGCATGTTTATTCGCTACAGATACACCCGCGTGGCTGACTACATTGTGAAGGTAAGGCACTCTTTCATCCATACTCTCTCTCTTATTAGGGTCCTAAGACTCTGATTCATGGCTGAAATGCTAAGCAGTTTGGGAAAGAGGGGGGAAGGGGAAAAAGGGTTTGGTAGCACTTGCATGGATAAAGTTTTAAAAAGTTTATGCAGTAAAGATAATGCCACCTTTTTGAATTCCTGAAATGGTAGCTTCAATTAAGACATACAGCTTTATGAAAAACAGCATACCAACCAGTACTTTTGGGGAGGAAATAAGTAATTGGGGAAGCGGGGGAGGAGATAGCAATGCTATTAAATGAGAACATATTTCCACTAACACTGTACATTAAAAATTAAAGCGGTTTAAATATAATTATTTCAGAACCACATACATCATAACATTTTCAAAAGCAGAACTCCAATTCTGAGAAATCCTGTAATAAGTTTGTTTAAAAATGTTTTATTAATTTTCTAAAAATAAATCTGGACACTAATAAGGCTAAAGTAATTGAAAAGTTAAATTGTGGCAATAAAGTAGAATGCACAAAATATTTGCCTCAGAGCACAAAATAAAATGGGTCCTAGATGACAAATGTAGACTATATCACCATTACTAAATTTGTGTGTTTCTTTTTCATTCTCATTGCACCATTTTATACAATTTCCAAAGCTAATGAACAGATGCACAATTTATATTATTTTCTACAATTTTTTCACTAGTGCTTCATTTTCAAAAACTGACATTTTTATAGCAGTAGACATTTTCTAATAGTTGGAGAAATATTTAAGTATTTGTCAATAAACTTTGCTCGGAAGGAAGGTTGGGCAATCTACTTCCTTAGTGATACCACCTTGGAAACCCAAGGAGGGGTTGCTATGAGTCGGGTGTCCAACTTGACAGCACGTAACAACAACAACACGATAAACTTTGAGAACTCAAAAATAGTTGAAAACAAGAGTGAATCATGAACAGGATTCTTATCTTAGGATATTACACAAATAAAGTGCATAACTAATCACTGTAAAATGCATAGGCAAATTCCAGATAAAGAGAAAAAGAGCCACATCAATAGTTCAATGATGTACATTTAAGAACTATAGGGTAACTGTGAATCAGAATAGACTTCATGGCAGTGGGTGTATATATGTATTATATATATGTGTGTACATATACAGTGGCAGTATATATGTTGTTGTTATTGTTATGTGCCAAGTCGGACTTGACTCATAGCGACCCCTCCTTGGGTTTCTGAGGTGGTACCACTACGGAAGTAGATTGCCCAACCTTCCTTCTGAGGAGTGGCTGGTGGGTTTGAACTGCCAGCCTTCTGGTTAGCAGTCAAGTACCTTAGGCACTATGCTACCAGAGCTCCTATGTACAAATTATATATATAACCATAGATAATCTTGACATACATTAACCAAAAAAACCAAACTCACTGCTGTTGAGTTGGCTCTGACTCATAGTGACCCCTCCTTGGGTTTCCAAGGGCAGTATCACTACAGAAGTAGATCGTCCAACCTTCCTTCTGAGGAGTGGCTGGTGAAACCCATCATCCTTCTCGTTAGCAGTCACATGACTTAGGCACTACGCCACCAGAGCTCCTGTTATACATTAAAGAACTTATTAAACTTAATCATTAAGCTAACACTATCAGGCTGATGGCATTTACTATAAAATATTAAGAATTGTAAGAGAAAGTCAGTTAAATGAGCCACTTATATGCTAAAACTGACTAAACATATTAAAATAAAATACAATTCAATAAGTTTGGCTGAGTTTGAATTTAAGGTGAACCTATTCTTATTCCTTAACCAGTACACTATTACTAGTAAAATAGGGTTTATAACATTGTTACACTTTTACAAACACTTTAAAATGAACATTAAATATCAGTGTTTACCCAAATTACTTAAAATATAGCCAGTCCCCATGTTATGAACATCTGAATTTACAGACAATATAATGTTATGTAAGTTTTCTCTCACTTTGAAGATCAAACTAACCCCTACGAAAACAAATCCTTCATCACAATCACCTTCACTTGCCACACACTCAGCTTTTAAATCATTGAAAAGGCTTTGTGCCTTTTCTTGCACTAAAGTAGGGCTAAATAAGAACCATATACACCTGTTCTGACTTACCTACAAATTCTGCTTAAAGACACACTTAGCAACAGATCCAGTTCATAACCCAGGGACTGCCTATAGTTCAAAGGAAAATTTGGAACGAGTATTTGCAAACTGAATAGTCACAGATTTCCTGTCAATGTTTTCAGTGTGGACACTGATACTTAAGACTTTTGGTTTAGAGTGGTTTGGTTTCTGCCAAATGCACATGTATAGTATAGTATAGTATAGTATATATAGTAACTTATATAATAATTATTTCAGTATCTGCTAGGGGAAAACTTTTGACCAGCTCAGATAAATTTTAAATATATAATTTTAAAAGAATATAAAGTATACATCAGCCCCACAGACTTCAAGAGTTTTGTCACAGATATCCAGGGAACCAGAAATAATACTTTAGTTATTCTCCCTTGAGCTCTCATCCTCCCTCCTACCTCCTCTCATTTTTAAAAACAAGGTAACTACCAATCTGAAGGAGAACTAGTCAGCTTACCTGAATGAATGAAATGTACCAGTCAGAACATCAAGATGACCTCATGTTTTATACAGGGTCAGTTGCAATATATCTAAAATCCAACTCTTACACTAATTCCTAAGCATCACTAGAGACTTATAGATGGGAGGTTTCTTATGAACAGATGAGAAAAAAGAGGGAGATTTGAAAATTGTAAAGAATTCCTCACATCTTATTTACATTTTTTTTCTATTACATAATCTAAGAAATGGCAACTTGTTCAATATTGCTAACAATCCCCTGTAATATATTCTGAAGATTAAAAATGTTATACACAGTTCAGAGATTTTAATAGCAACTACACTCTTTTGTACACCACACTCAAAACCAGAACTAATTTCTTATGGAAAGCATGGGGTCCTGTTCAGGGAAACCTGAAGGCCCCTTGTCCACTGTATTTGTCAGAACATACCTGGGATACAGGGCTTGATTCCGACTCTTCTGTTTTTAGAGGCACATTCACAAATTAAACAGACTCTCTTAACAGTCAAGACTCCAAAACAAAGTTATATGGTGGAGGTTGAAAGTCTGGGGACAATCTGGAGAAGAGTTAATGCTCCCCTCAAAAATTTATTAACCTTTTGAAGAGCTGGTTTTTTCCAGGAGTAGACTGGTTTCTGTTGCTCCTGAAGCCATGTCCAAGACAATGGCTAGAAGATATAGATGGCCAGTTATCACAGATATCAGGACAGGCCACCTAACAATCAGAGCTGTTCCACATGGATCTGGATGCCTCTTGAAGAGGTAACCTCATCTTCAGAAATACTCTGTCCAAAACATTTTAGGGCAAACATCTCCAACTTGTGGGGGAGGTCTCTTCTTCCAAGAAATGACGATTCTCTTACCTGAATCCCTTTTTTGAACTATCTTACTTTTGATGGCTTGTCTATCCATTTTCTATTACTAGGTGTCCCTGTGGTGTCTGCTAGTGACTCTGGTGGTCCTATTCATAATGACGGGCACTATGTTAGGACCTGAACTGCTGGCAAGTATCCCTGCAGCTGTCTATGTGATAGCAATTTTTATGCCGTTGGCAGGCTATGCCTCAGGCTATGGCTTAGCTACCCTCTTCCATCTTCCACCCAACTGCAAAAGGACTGTGTGTCTGGAAACAGGTAGTCAGAATGTGCAGCTCTGCACTGCTATTCTAAAACTGGCCTTTCCGCCACAATTCATTGGAAGTATGTATATGTTTCCCTTGCTTTATGCTCTTTTCCAGTCTGCAGAAGCAGGGATTTTTGTTTTAATGTATAAAATGTGTGGAAGTGAAATATTGCACAAGCGAGATCCTTTAGATGAAGATGAAGATACAGATATTTCTTATAAGAAACTAAAAGAGGAGGAAATGACAGACACTTCCTATGGCGCAGTGAACACAGATAACTTGATAATGATGGAGACCACCCAGACGTCTCTCTAAACGTGGAGATACACAGGAGCTTCTATCTGGCTGATGCATTACTTCATATTTATGGTCTGTGGTACTGCATATGGTTTACATAAAGCATACAATTGGTTTGCATTATCATACATGTAATAATTATGATCTTCCCATTGTAAGGTTGCATTTGTGTATTAACCAAGCATTTTCACAAATTACAAATCAATGTCATGATATAACCTACACCTGGGACCATTAAAGTGATGCCTGGGCTAGTTAACAGTACTTTTTGGTTTTCAGTGTTACCGATTTCTATGACTGTTTCAAATATGTGATCTATTAGAAAACAGGGTGTTGGAAATGCAGAATTTGATCTTCTATAAGTAAAAACAGCCTATATTTGAAAAGCATAACCGAGTCTAATGTAATTGTATAAAAGTGTATTCTGCTCAACTTATAAACACCTGGCAATGCTGATTTCAATCTTTATTCAGAGAAATCCTAAAACAGGTCAATTAAACAATGAAATAGAGTATGGTATCTTATTGTCAAATCTGTATCAAATCAGAGAAAACTTATATTAATGTCTTTGTTTACTTGATCTGATATCTATTGCTAACAAACAGTCAAATTTATTCCAGGGGACAAAGCGTTTACTTTGGAAGTGGGGACTGATTTGATTTTCAGCATTTATGCAAACACATCCCAAATCCATTTATCTGCTGGTGGGATAGTTTGATTAGGAAAATTTATAAAACTCCTATCCCTAGAGAGAAGCAATAGTCATCACTCAACGATACCTCCTTGTCACCATTTGGTGAGGGTGGGGATGAGGAAACGTGCCCCAGAGGAGAAAATTAGCCTAACAGGGGAGCCCTACAATGCGTCCACGAACACTTACCGACAGGTTTCAAAGGGCCGCTCTGAGATACACTTGAAATCATAGCTAACAGACCCAAAACAGTTCCTCAAGGCGTCATATTCTTGCACACTCACCCAGAGGCACCCCGCCTCGCCTCAGCTTGCGGGGAGGCGCATACACCTGGAATAATCAGGGTGTGGGGACCACCTGGAGCAGCTCATTCCGGTGATCTCTGTTGTCGGAATCCAAATCACCTCAGACGAGTTCACTTATAAATCAAATCAGTTCTTTAATCCCAAAGAAAGCCTCTTGGTATTTCTGCCAACCTGGAGGGCTTCCTCAGCAGGGACGCTGGGTCAGAGGCCCGTGGCGGGAAGAGCGCCAAAGGCCGCGCAGCGAGGCCCGGGGAGCGGCTTGGGGCGCGCACCCCGCGCCGTTCACGCCTCCGTGACCGCCCCTGCGAGGCCGCCTACTTAGAGCGCGGTGGACGCCAGCGGCTGCGGCTGCGCTTATGGCCGCCCTAAGGGACGAAGTGTTAGACGGCTGCGTGTATCCGGCATGCACCCCTTACTCGTACCCGTACCCCTACCCGCCGGCCGCCAAAGGCAAGGTCACGGCGGGAGGGAGCGGGTGGCGGCACCGCAACAGGAGCTACCTTCCCGCCTCGTCCTCCTCGGCGGGAGCGGCCTCGGCGTCTTTCCCCGGCTACGGGCAGCTCATGGCCGCCGAGTACTTCGACAGCTACCAGCGGGCGCAGCTCATGACCCTCCTGTCCCAGGTGAGCCCCGGCCTCGCCCAGCGGCCCCGCAGGGCTAGCAGCCGCGACGTGGGTGTGCAGGTGAACCCGCGCCGCGACGCCTCGGTGCAGTGCTCGCTGGGGCGGCGCACGCTGCTGCGCAGGGCGCG